TTCACATTTTTTAAACAGTTTTTTTTTTTAAATTTTAACATATAATCAAAGAAACTTGCGGCAGGTGCCCACGGGCTGTAGTTTGGAACCCCTAGATTAGATCATAATTGGATTGCATATTTGATCATTAAGTGTGTGGAGACATAGAGAGTTTCTGTCAATCAAAAACCGGATGTATTTTTCAAAACCGAAACTCATTCACCCTTCTCCTTATGAATACGGCATTTTGTCCTCTTGTATTATTTAACGATGTATTACTTATTATGTACATATCTTCGGTAAGATTTGATACTGTTGTAGAGATTCACCAAAACAATCTGATACCCTATTACTAGCATGCGTAAGATATTCTAACAATGATAAAAAATTCTTCATTTTAAAAAAGGAATAATTTTTAAAGTAACATTTACAAAAGTATTTTCTGAGGTAGGTTAAAGATGCATATTTAACATAAATAAGCGGTATATGTATTTCAGACAAGTTTTGAAATGCGAAAAAAAATCTTACCTATCGCGTTACGAAATTTATATTTATAATATCAATTTGAAATTTTTTAAAGAGTATAATATTTTTTATTTTCTAAACAAATTAACTGAAAAACGAAAAAAGCACTATACAAAGGAAACTCGTATTTAGAGAAGAATTCACTCATGAAAAAGGAAGGTACAAGGAACGTTTCAAATAATGTTCCCGGACGGATATATAAATAATCATGATTGGTCACTGGTACTTAACTAAGCAGATTAACATTTCAGATTACTGAGGAGGACAAAGTATTCCTCGAAACGTTCAAATAAATTTGCAACCAAAAACTGAATATTGATTAATTTATTTCTGACCAATAGGCAAATGAACCACTATATTTAATTTTATGAGAAGAAGTTGGTCGGGGAGTGCGGTCAAATAAATACTAAATTTTTAAAAAATAGTATTTTTAATTATTACGCCGACGTTTCGACCCACCTGGCAGTTATTCATCAGGGCTACAAAAGATACAAAATATAAAAGGTACATGGAGAAAATAAAATAAATGATTATGGATTGTAGGACTGTTAGATAAAATGAGATAACGAGTTTTTCATTGCTTGCCATGGATAGGTCACACTAATTGTAAGTGGATAATGTTGAGATTTCACAAAGGGAAAATTCATCGAATAATCACTAATTTAATTTATAAAAGGTTACTTAATGATTGCTTGTAATAAACGGCCCAATAGATATCTAATTAATTAAATATAATATCATATCTAGAGTTATTAAACTACAGTAAATGTATTTACGGTTATACACATATCCATTAAACAATTTTAAAGTTCACTTCTTCTTTCAAACAAGTACAATGAAAAAATATTTGAAACAATGGCATTGACATGATTCGTGTGGATTTTAAATACTTCTTTTAGTATGAAAATATCTTGGAAACATGTGATTTACGTTAGTTTTCTAAAATTATTATTTATATTTTTTTCGTCACTATCCGTTACCTTCTACAACTTTATTTATTTGAAATTATCTTTTCTAAAATTCTCCGCTTTCCAACGATATAATATACGTATACCATCTGACTGTTATTTCCGGAGTTTCATTTTCAACCTAGATAAGCATTTTTCTTTTTTTTTCTCCAGTTTCCAATTATCATATTCTTTCAAACTTCATATTTACCCATTTTTTATATTAACTGTCAATGAAAGAGAGTTGATTTTTTAAAATAAACCATATTAAAGGTACTTTAGAGGAAGACGAATATGAACATTGGGCATTTAAGCTCTGTAAAGTGACATCAATTGGGATAAGATCAAAATGATATTAAAGACCAATTAATTACACAATGATACAGCGAGTTTAATCAAAATCGTTAGAGCAGTTTTTAAGAAAATTGTAAAAATGGCCGTTGAGATAAAGGGGCAATTCCGGTTAGCCGATTTTAAGGCAAAAGTTGCTGTCACGTCTAAGGTATATCTTTTTTCAATACTTAATATCAGTTTCGTACTTTAATTTTTGAGCTATACCGTTAACATACACATAGACCATTTTGCGGGACTTGGTTATTTGGATTCAGGGGACCTCAAAACGTGTCGTTGAAAACCGTGAAAATGTTAACGATCGCAATACTTTCCCTTACTATACTATACACATATAGGTAAGTGAAAATAAAAATACATACAAATGAAAAAGCACGTATATCCTTTATATTCCTCCCATCAAATTGGTTATTTGATCTACAGTTTATGGAAAAACATGTTTTTCTCTTATTGCCCAGGGAGCATTCAATTTGTTCCAATTGCATTAGTAGCCAAAACCCTACAACTAAAAAAAAAAGTAACGAAATCAGTCCACTTGTTCCCGAGAAAATGTTCGTACAGACTAAGAGATCAATGTCTGAAAATGTGTTTTTTGGACTCAAGTGGCTCTACAACATTTAGATTCCTTGAAAACCGCAATTTAGAAATGTTACTCGATCGCAATCATTTTCTTACCTGGAAGCGGTAGAATACTAGGAAAAAATCCTGTATAATTTCCAATCATTAAAAAAATAAAGAAAGAGATACTGTTTCTACAAGAAAAATATAGATATATATGTTTTTTGAAAAATACAAAACGTGTTTCAAATGGGAATTTTCCACGAAATTCTTTGTAAATTAATCATTAATCTTTTTAGAGTGAGGTTATCTATCGATAAAGTGAAATATCTGGAATAATGATTTATTATTTGTAAAATTGCATCGCCGATATCGCAATCTCGTATCTGAAATATGCAAGGATTGCGGGTTCATGAACTATAAAACCATTGAGAAACAAAACTGCATATTTCATTTAAGATTATTCTTGTTTATTTTAGTTGTGTAATTCCCTTTTATCCAAATAAGGAAATTACAGATATTTTACAACCTAAGCAAAGCGAAATATCATAGTGGATGTCATGACGACTAGATTCCAAGCAGACACTAAATTTTCTCTTGACACATAAGTAATGAAACTGTCGAAATAGTAATGGTTACTCAATAAATTTGAAAATCAGATGGCTCAACTCTGTGTATAGATGAAATACAATCGGAATAAAAATAGAGGACAAGATGAAAATTTCTTTTTTTAGAAATTGCCCGACGTTCCCGATTACTTCAGCACTTACTAGACGAACGCAATAAACTTCCACTAATTACAAAATACTCGTATACACGACTATAATAAGGCCTATTTGGACTTACGGAGTTGAACTATCGAATACCTCTCGTATCCGATCCTTACAATCCAAAATCCTTTGTAACATCCTCAATTCTCTCTACTTTGTCACTAATAAAATTATCCATAAAGATCTTAATGTTCCTTATGTTTCAGATCTAGCCCAATCCAGATACCTATCCTTCCATAATAAACTTCAAAATCATCCCAATCCTCTCGTTTCTAACTTTGCTTCCTCTTCAATTCCTGATAACCCTCCGAGGCATCTGAAAGAAGATGGTCCCGTGATCTCCTAATGTAGTCATATCATTAGGGTGCTTCCATTGGGTAGTTACTCAGCAAGCGTATTCATGTCATTATATCTATTATGTCCAAATTTACTAAATGTATTTATGTAATACAGTTGTAAATGTCATTAAGAAGAAAAAAACAATTTTTTTTTTAAATATTAATTTATCAAAATATTATTTAAGGCTTAATGAATCAAAGTGGGCCTAATTGTGTGACAAAATTTATTTTTATTAGTAAATTATGCGAGTTTAGTTTTATTCTGGCTGAAGAGCATCCCCAAAAATAGAAAAAAAAAATTATTTTCCATTGGTTCACAACCGAGTTTCAGATATGAGCAAGATACTTTAAAAGTACAATATAGACAGCCACCCTGAAAAAAGCTGTAAGTACAATTTGATGAGAATGTTGTGAGCTTTGTCGGTTAATCTTGGCTTCGCGTTCATAAAAACAAACTAAAAGCGTTATTTAGAACATTGCATATTGATCTTAAGCGTACAATAAAAATAGAACGGAAATTTTCTTTATGAAATAAGAAATACGCGGTTTATTTCGTCTAATAAATAATTTTGTTTTACACTTATATGCTTTTGCAGAGTGGCAGAGAGGCTGGTGAAATGTTCCGTTTTTAAATTAAAGCATACAGACATACTTAACGTTTGTTATGCAAATGAAATTAAATTGGAGATTGATATAACTGAAATTTTGAAAAATACCACCAAATTGGCAAAAAATGTGTTTACATTTCTTCAAATAACGAACCTATCCAACAAAATTTAAATTTTGCTGACTTTTTTTTGTTTTGAATATTTTGTGCTTTCAATTTATTGTTAAATTTAATTTCATCTGATGTAATATAAATATTTTGTAAGGGCTAAATGACCCTAATAAAATAAAATTTATTTATTTTTTATGATATATGATGAATGAAGAGGTTGAGGAGACCCCCTTGTTATAAATAAATATTTGAAGAATCCCGCCAAAATCTGTTTAAGAAGAGGCTCTGTCTATCGATCAATATAATACAGGGTTATTCGCACGAGCCAAATATATAATTTTAGAAATATTTTTATAAAAAAGTGTATGTATATCGTCGATCTATCTATTGGCAATAAGCACGCCATGCTACAATGTTATTATCCAGCTACACCAGCACCACTATATCGCGAGTATCAGCGTTTCTGTCTCGGACTATAAACCTTTAAAAAAAAAAAGAAAGGAAGAAAAAGAGGAGAAGAGACGGCGGAGTAGTAAGTAGTAAAGCCAGTCCGAGGAGATCGATAACAATTGGGTAAGGCAATTAAAAGCCGTTTATTTCCCCTCCATTAAGTTGGCACAACAAAACAAAACATAAAAAAAACAAAAAAACAGAAATAGTATAAAGTGAAGGAAGTGGGAGCAGTTAAGTACAAAAAGGTCAGAGCGGTTTGTAGAATGGTGAGGTGAGGGGGGAGGGGGGAGAGGCGGGAGTGGGGATGCCCAGGTGTTTGGAGTATCCCGGCCCGGAGTGGTTCATTCATAAGATGTACCTCTCAGGAGTAGGGCGCGCAGTGGAGCGGTGAGGCCGCAGAACATGTGGATAGTCATGAGTGTGTTAGTAGCAGCGGCCCTGGGAGTCAATGCCAGGACCCCGCTCATAGTATTCGAGGAGCATTCCTTCCACCCGTCCTTCCAGGACATGGACTCCATCCTGGCCATCCACTTCCAGGAGTACCACCAGCAGCAGCACTACGTCAAGCCCGTCAAGCATCTCAGGACTCTCTATCAAGTCGGGGTGAGTACATCAAAACGTAGTCCATACATTGAACAAAGTACACATTTACCAACGGACTCTTCGAGATATACCATTCTTCAAACCAATATTTCAGGACATCCTCTTAGTATACAGTTCTAATCTGATAAATTAACAAACAATATATCATCATAAATACAGAGATAATTTTATCAAATTATTAACATCCTTCTAAAACTTCGTGAGTGGCACTTCATCATATCATAATCAACACCTTTTTCATTTATGAAAATTTTCGTGAATGGTACGTTTTCAATCTGTACATCGATAAACTTCGTCTATTAAATGCGGCACTAAAAACTCATGAACATTTGCACTTGAATCTTGAGATAATTTGATTATAAAATCGAGAAAAAAAAATTCCATCGTTTGGTATTCACCTTCACCCTCAACATAACAAGGTTATACATGCCAAACGGCCCAATATTTTTTTATCGAGTTTTTTTCTCAGATTAGCTTATGATTCAAGTGGAAAGCAAATGTTCGTGAGTTTTTAGTACTTCATTAAATTAATTGATTTAATGAGAAAATATTCTATTAAGCAGAATTTTCGTAGATTAGTAATTTTTAGTTCAGGATAAGACGAATCCATTCACGAAATTTTAGACGTATGTTAAATAAATCGATAAAAAGAGGGGTCCGGTACAGGAGACTGATATACTCCCTTTCGAACAAGATGGATACCAGAGGACCTCCTGGAAGACTTGTCTTCCTCTCAAGGACCTTGAGGACCTTCCTCTTGTAGGATGGTTCCTCCAGAGACAGAGGGACAAGATGAGTAGCTCGGCACCTGTTGGAGCTACCTCATGAATGGAACGGGCTTATTGGGTGCCATTCAAGGCCCCCCTCTCTGGGGAAAGGTCAACTCGCTCTCGAGTGCCTACGCTCCACCTGCCCTCACAACCTTTTTATTTAACCTAATTTTTTTTTCTTTTCATTCATAACTCCTCGTATAAAAATAAAAACAATAATAATAATAACAAATTATGAAAATATTCAAATCATGATAACAAACAATATACCGAATTTTCATTAAGAGTAAAAACTTACTTATCTATATCTATATACAGTGTATGGTAATGTTTTATTATTTTTTAAATCGTAACTCCTCATAAAAAAATAACAATAATAAATCAAGGAAAGAGTCAAGATATAAAAAAAAAATAAAATAAAAAATTATAAACCTAATTTTCTTTAAGAGTTACAACTTCTATATCCAATGCTAGACCAATAGATAATTTTTATATTATTATAGAATAGACCATCTTTTGAATTTTAGCCATTTAATTTTTTTTTTTTTTTATCGAACGCCGAATATTCATACTTCATCGAAAAAAAAATGTTTGATCCATCGTTTAGAAGTGTCGATCCTTCAAAAAAAAAAAATTAGAAACAATTTATGAAAAAATAAAACTTCATTAAGGCATAATTAATACAATATATAGTTGGTTATATACATAATAATTTGAAAATTAATTAAAAAATAAAAATGATATAAAAAATTATCAAAATTATCGGAATCTTTCCACTACTAGGAAAGATACAACCTATTGAACTTCGTACGTATGCTATGGCTTTTTTGCAATAATGAACTTTGACCATTCGAGTTTAATTGAACTGCAAAAACACGACAATTTGACAAATAGATAACTTTTTTTTATCATTCAAAAATTAATCATCAATATATCATCAAACTTGAGCTGATTAATCGGTATTACATGATGATAAAAATTTTAAATGATTTTTATTTATACATAAAATCAGGCACGAAACTTTTTTTTTTTTAGTTGTTCTTTTCCAACTTCAAGAGACGGATATATACTTACAGAATAAATAAAAAAAAAATTGAAAACAATCTACGATTGACGATCATATTTCGAAGATCCTGCATAACAATCACAAATATATATCGCCATACACTATTGTTAGTGCAAAGAGTCGTATGTAAAAATTCAGTTTTCCTTTTTTTTTTTTACAAAAGAGCATACAGACTGATTATTTCTTAACGATTTATTAACATAATTTCATATTTTAATTCCCCATATAACATTTTCTATAGTAGCGGACTATACAATGTCATCTTTAGTATAAGTAGAATTAACATAGACTTTATTACATACCGACTTTTGCACTAACAGTTGCTATATAAGTTAAAGAAATTATGTGTTTCATCACGGATAAATATTTTAAATCGTTCCTAAATGAAGTCAAAATTTTAATAAATAATAGCTTGAAATTTCAAATAGATAATTGACAGACTTAATACTTTGATAAAGTCATCAAAATTGTTTAAATGCATACAAATGTACTTATTAAAATAACAAACCCGATCGTTAATATTTTATAATTTTTTTTATCAGTATTATATCACTTATTGTCACCTCTGAAATTCGATACGAGTCGTATCTTATCAAGGACAGGAATGACTAAATTCGCATAAATGCAATCAACTGAAACTAGAAAACTATGATTTTTATCGTCAGATAAACAAGAGATTACTCAAGTTTTCTGAACCATTCTAGATACAAGATTTTTTATTTTAATTTTTGTTTTTTGTTTTTCAGTGACTGTTTTTATATTCTGAACTCTCAAATCGCTGATAAATTATTATTATTTAAAATAAAAATTATAAAACTTTCTTAAAAAGCATAACTGCCCTTTGAAAGGATAATCACATGTAATATTTTCTGCACATCCGGTCCTTTCTCTTTTATAAGAGTCTCTGTATAACGTATTTTAAAAACATGTTTACAACTTCTATAAACTATATTTATTAATTTTTATTATTATTTTTTTATAATATAATATATTTTTTAATAATTTATCATATATATATAAGAGTGTTCGTAAGGTACACGCGCCTGACACAGTTTATAGAAATATCTCCACTTTCGAAGCAAAAGATCGAACTGAAACTTTCACCTTGAATTTTTCCAAAAATTCTTATTTATTTATATACTAGCAGTGAAGGACATAGCTAAGAATTTTTTTTTTTTTTTTTGCTTAGTCCGCCGTAATTATTATAGTTAGAAACTTCTGCATTGGAGCTTTAGAATCTCTAGGATCTCCTTTTTCTATTTAGCACTTCAAAATTGAAAAAAATATTCAGTTATGCAGGTATAATCTCCATAAAAAAAAAACGCATTTTCGCTCTAGTGATGGACACCCCGAACTTAAATTGTTCTAGTAATGGACAGGGGTTCGGTACCAATAATGCACTAAACAAAGTAAAATTCTAAATTTTTATTTAACTATAAATATAACGATAAAGATAAGATAACATAAATGCTCAACTTACTCTTAGCAAAACTGTTAGTAGGAAGGTATGAAACAAACTGATCTCAAGAGCACTATAGAAACAAAAATGATAGACATTTAAAACTTTTGGGAACTTTGTTCATAAAGTTGTCAATAGAGGGTATTGTCCTTCAATCTAGAAAAAAACTGGAACCTTTAAATCAACAAGGAAACTTATTATTTACATTTAAAGTCCAACCTGTCCATAACTGGTGCATTCATCCTAGTAAAAATATATTTATTAATTTTTTTATGATATATGAAATAAATAAATAAAAAAATCAAAGGACAAGTTTTTATTTGTTTGAGCCATTTCGTAAAGAATAGTGGTAATTTAAAAAATAATTAAATTATAATAAACATTATATTATTAATATAAATTTATGGAGTTGATCCTAGAGAAGGAACCTTCAACAAACAATATCTCCCAATGTAAGCAAGGATAGGATACCTGAGCCTTTATCTTGACAGAAGATTAACAAGGAAACTTCAGTTTATTTCAATATTTACTCGACAAACTCATGGAGCTCCCGAATCGTATTCGAAAGAGGCACTGATATTTATACATAATCCATTATTCAGCATATTTTAAATAATTTTATTGAACAATTAAATTAAATTAAAACAATTAAAAACGAGAGTTCTGGTAATGGTCCACAAACTCATCCAAACAAACAATACATTTGAATAACTGAGAGAATAACGTATAATGTTTACATATTTATTCTATATAAGCTATAGGTGACAATATGTAGTCTGCAACTACTATATGCTATATACGTAGTCTGTGCTACTATGGAAAATAGCAAATATATATAAAATATTAATCTTCTTGTTTTTCTTTCTCTAGGAAGCTTCGGTTTATATTTTTAAGGTTAAGGGAATTAAACATGCATTTTTTCTTTCATCTTTTTAAATAAAATCTGAAGTTTAGGGATAATTTTCCCATCTTCAAAAATTACAATAACTGTCATATCTATTTTTCCATAATACTTTTTTTTTGGTGTTACACATCCATTTTATATATTTAACTATAGCAACCAACACTAGGTTATTTCAAGTTGTTCATTGTTTCAAGTTCATTATTGTACTTTCATAATGGAACTTGTAATAACCAAGTGTTAGATGGTATAGGTACATATAGAAAATGAATGTGTAACACCAAGGAAAGTATTATAGAAAAATAGATGACAGTTATTGTAACATTAACAATTGGTGCCACATTACAAAGTCAAGTAAATATAAGGGAATCTCTGAAAATGGGAAAATTATCCCGAAACGTCAGATGTGATTAAAAAATATAAAAGAAAAAAATGGAAGTTTAGTTGCCTTAACCTTGAACAAAATAAAATATGAAATTATACTAATCTTTATGTCATCCTGTAAAACATACAATTTTTGCACTAACTATAGCGATATAAAGAGATTAAAATTTTACTATCATCCTAAAGTGGCTACACACGTACAACTATAATTAGAAACCATACATGATAAATATTTTTCAAAATGTATGCTTAAGATAGAACAATAGTGGATCAAGAATGAATTTATTTATTTATTTTTTGGAGGCGGAGTTTTTTTTATTTTAGTTTTTTAATCAACTATTACTCTAGAAGAAAAAGAAAAAAAACTACTTCTATAAAATGATGTTTAAGTGGTCCAATAAAAAAAATATTTATTTACAA